CAGAGAATGTTTGTGAGGAAGAGGAAATACTTCTAATGTGCTTGGAAAATTTCAAATTCTAGGGTATTTTTCTTGAGTGTAATTAGGCTTCTTTAAATCAGATATGATAGTGGAAACGGTATTTTCTCTAACTAGACCATCTTTTTATCTCTTCCTGAGGGTACCTTCCCTTCAGAATAATCCCACAAAGTTGCAGAGTCATTGTTGCTGGCATGCACCTTTGGAGATTGTCTAATGCACTCAGTGTTCAGATCAGGGTCTAGTGAATCAGGCTGCTCAGGACGGTGTCCAGGTGGATTTTGAATATCTACAAGAATAGAAACTCCACAGTGTCTTTGGGCAGCGTGTTCTAGTGTTTGACCATTGTCACAGTAAAAATGTTTTATTCTTGTTTTATATGAAATTCCTTGTATTTTAGTTGATGTTCATTGGTTCTTGTCCTGTGTCTGTGCACCACAAAGAAGTGTCTGGCTCCCTCTTCACTTGCTCTTGTCAGGTACTTAGTGACATTGCTTGAATTCCCCTGCGCCTTTTCTTCTTTAGGCTAAATAGCCCCAGCTCTCTCAGCTTCTTCTCATATAACAGATTTATTTAATCAGCTTTGGCCCTTTGTTAGGCTTACTTCAATAAATCTATGTCTCTCTTGTACTGAGGGGCCCAGAACTGGATCCAGCACTGCAGATGTGTCTTAGCAGTACTGAGCGGAATGCGAAACATCGCCATCCTTGACCTGCTGCTAATATAGACCAGGATATCACTGACTTTCTGTCCTCAACATACATTGCTGTTTCATTGTCGGTTTCATGGCATTTTAGTTCCTTTTTTCTACAAGTTACTTGAACTCCTACATGACTTTATTCTTTCTCAGATGCAAGACTTTGCACTTCCTGATTTTGAACTTCCTGAAGTTCCTGTTGGCCCATTCCTCGACTATTTTCAGGTCTTTCTGAAGGGTAGTGCAACCTATCTGGTGAATCAATCAATCCTTTGAGTTTTCTACCTGAAAACTTAACTGAGAGAGCTCTCTGACAATTATCCTAGTCATCAATGAAGATGTTAAACATCTGCTAGGATTCTGACCCCATTGGCTTTATGCTGCTGCTTACAGCCCTCCACAGTTGTCCCACAGTTCAGCCAGTTTTAAATCTACCTCACTCTCCACTTAAATAGTTTGCCTGTGAGGATGTTATGGGAGGCAGTGTCTATAAAGACTTATGAAAGTCAAGATAAACAACTTTAATTGCTCTCTCCTTTCTGCCTTCAAGACAGATGGCTCATTGTCAAAGGCTGTCATATTACCAAAGTGAGTATTCCACTTTCTAATATTTCTGATCACCTTTTTGCCCTTCATGTATTCAAAACTGGGTTACAGGATTATTTGTTCCATCAGTTTTTCAAGAATTAGTGTGAAACCAGCTGACCTTAAGTTACTCACATATCTTTTTTGTCCTTTGCTTTCTTGCAAACTTCAGGATTGCATAAGAAATCCCTATAACTAACTGCAAATAAAGCAGACAGTACTCCTGATAATATCACTCTTGGAATAATGTCCAGAGACTGCATGACAGGATCCTACTCTGCTGTATGTACACTATGGTGTTCTGAAGAATGTAGAGTGGCTTGACAATGACGTTGGCCTGCTAGCTCAGAACTTCTGAGAGCATCCCATCATTGTTCAGATGTTTCTTAACCTTGTCTTCCCCTTCTGAGGTTAAGTCTTATCGGTCCAGAGTTTACCACTGGTCTTAGGAAAATGGGATTCATGAAGGCAAGACTTAGCATTAAAGACAGTGGTAAAGATGGTATTGTGGAAGCCTTTTCTGTGCCCTCATCATCAGATCCCTTTCCCACTTAAGCAGCAGGGCCATGTTTTGCCTACTCTTCCTTTTACTGTTGATGTACTTGAAGGCACGTTTACTACTGTCCTTGTAGATTAAATTCTGGGTAGATTTTGGCTTTCCTAAGTTCATCCCTCTATGCTTTGACAGTGTCTCTATCTTCCTTCCAGGTCACCTGTCTCTCCTTCCATGTCCTGTGTGCTCTCTTTGTATGTCTGAATGTAGTCAGGAGGTCCTTGTTCATCCTTACAGGTCTTCAGTTGCCTTTGATTTTAAAAGGATTATTTTCAAGGATCATCTCCAACCTGAAGAATGGTTGACCTAAATGATAATATAGTCAAGCAAAGTCAGCAAAAAGCACACATTTTGTGAGTGCTCTTTCACCTCTTTCTATTGAAGTGGGCTGTGAAACAAGCTGTCATTTGATTTACCTTTTGAGGTAATCTAGGAAACATTCACACAGGAATGACATCTTGTAATGTAAATGGGGTGATGGATGGAGGTTCTAGCAGAGAAGTTATCTCATCTTCTGGAATTGGAGCTGCCATTTTATTCAGCAGCTACAATTGATTGTGTTTGACTTGTGTACTCTAGTGGACTCTATTTTCCTTTTCAAAGTAGAGTTATGTATGCTCACTGTGTTTGACACACTTGAAGAAAGGAAATCTAAGGGAGTTACAGCTACTGCCATGAATGCCATCGCGTGGAAACTTGTGTAGAATAGAGAATTCCACTCTCTTTAGGAGTGGGCCATGCCAAGAATGGGAGGAAGCAGAAGTTTTAGAAAGGGAAATTCTAATTACCTCTGAGGAGTCAAAAAAACAACTTCAGCAAGGATTCTGATGTACTTAAACAGATTGCCTGCAGGGGTTGTCGAATCTCCATCCTTGAGGACACTCACAACACCTGGACATTGCTCTGAACAGCATAACCTTACTTCAAGCATGGCCCTGCTTTGAGTGGGGAGAAGGACTGGATGACCTCCAGAGACTCTGTCAGCTTAAATTATTCCATGATTTTATGACTCTGTGCATTCTTACTAGGTTCCTGTCAGTGGGACTTAAGAGATTAGATCAATATGTTCAGACCTTTTTGGATTCCTAACCAGTGTCTGGATTTCCAACACTGTAGTTCACAATATTTTTCTTAGTTTCTAGTAATGGAAGAGAGTGAAAATGGGATGTAGTATACTAAATTCTTTGCAGCTGAAGTGTGGAGAAACTGGCTAGTCTGAGGATTTCCCTTTGATCTTTGTTCTGGTGTAAAAGACTGAAATTGGCATACAGAGTATGAATGCAGTTAACAAATAAAGCACAAAGAAGCAGTGAAGACTAAATAAACTGCAATATTCTACCTAAATTGTGATAAGTTAACCAAAATGAAAAAGAAAAAAAAAAAAAAAAAACCAAAATAAAAGAACTCTCACATTTGACTTTTCCATGGGAAAGGACTTTTTTTCTGGGAAGGCTGAGTTTGACCTTGTCTGTTCTGTGGTGGTTCATGTAAAACGAGTATTTATTTCATTATGATACTGATCATGTTGTTACATTATCTTATTTGTAACATGTGAGTCTTTCAGATGTTATCAGTGTGTGAGAGTAAATGGATTTAATATATTCACATCCTATAAACTATTTTTACTGGATTTTAGCAAATCCAAGCTCATTCTACATACAGAATTCTATAGAGTAAGAATTAAAGCCTCACTTTTTAAATATATGGAAGTGGTTTGGAAATTTTTTTTGAACAGTAGTACAAATTCTCACATAAGGAAAGGCGTGTAAATGCTACAGGGAACCTAACATTGAAATACACATATGAATAATATATTAGTTGATATACAGTACATATAATTAAAATTGAAAGAGTAAAGCAAATTTATAAAATATTTAAACTCAGTAGTGAAGAACACTGCAGAGAATTAAATACATGTCTTTTTTTTTTTTCTTTTTTTTTTTCCTGCCAGTTATATACTATCAGTATGTTGCAGTTCTCTGAGGAAGGATGTTTTCCATACTTAAGAAATTGATGGGGTCTTTACATGTGCAGTGAAGCATAACTAAAGCAATAGTTTATAGATATTGTAGAAAACAGTAGGATTTTTCTCACTACAAGGAGGATTATCTTTTGTAATCACATAGAAGTAGAAATTACTAAAATGGGCGCTAAGAGTTTATAAAATAATAGTTAAGAGTGGTGAGACATCTTTGAACTTAATCTTTGTCATTACGGAATTATGAAATCCTGAAATTAATTATGAACAATTATTTAAGTCTAATTTCCTCTTTTTTAAAAAATCTCCTGAAATATATCACATCATGTCTGTGTTCTTCTAAAATTATGCATTTTGTTGAGAAATCAAAACCGTGTACGCCCAACAGGATGCTAGTCTTGCCTAGAATTGTGGATGCATCTGTAATAACAGTCTTTGAAGGCTACGTTTTAAAATCAAATATAAACCTAAAGAATGATTTGTTAGTCTTTAAATTGTGTTGATTAAAAACTCCTCTATAGTACAGTTAAACTTAATGGAAATCCAGTATCTTAGTTTGAAGAACAATGTACAAGTTTCAAAGCTTTCTTTAAGAAAATTCAGAGCTAGAAACTGATGACCTCTGCTGCTTCATATTCCATCCATAAGGAAGAGTTTTTGAGACTGAAGAAATCACTATTGAGCATGAAAGATACTAACAACTGAAGTAGACAGATTTGCAATGAGAATAGGTGTGGGATTTGACAGAGCGCCAAATAATGAATTTCTAGCCTGTCTGCCAGTAGTTTGTTGTCTTTCTGGATGTCCTTGTAGGTTATAGCGGTAGATTTCATTGCTTTCATTGTTGGACAGTGGTTATTTAGCAGTCATTAAGATATTTTTAAAGCAGCAGAAGATTAAGACTAGTTTTAAATACGATCATTTTTTTATTTTTGTTTTCACTATTTGGAGCTTATACTTCTATTTTAAATAGATTTCAAGGTTCCATGAAACTCTCTTAATTATTTATGGTGATATTAGCTCTCTTGACTTAAGAAAAGGAGTGACAAATATAATATGAATTTAAATTTCAATGGCAACAAGAATATTGTGATCTGTACTGCTTATGCTTTTGCTATTATAATGGATTTCTTTTTTCCCCTCTTGTTTGCATCTCCTGTCAAATAAAGGCCAAGAAACACCAGGTCTTTGTAACAGAGACATACGAAAACAACATGATGGAGCTGAAGTTACTCTTGGACAGCTTTGCTATGTCAGGCCAGCGGACAGCAGGTTAGTTGAAGGTATAAAATGACAGATGCATCTGTCAATGTTCCAAAGTCACTACATTGTGGGAATTCTGCAGATGCCTCTTGCATTCCCTCTTCTCAACATGCTTTGATTTGATGACATGATAAGAGCAGTTCTCACAGCAGTCAGATGGCCTTGCTAGCTGAGAAAGGGTGACGGAATGTGGACTTGCTGTTGTCAGCCCAGAGCTTGATTTACAAATGCTGGGGTATATGTGATCGGTCAGAAAAGGGCTCACTTGCTGTGCTCTAAATCCTACTGAGAAAAAAGTCCTTACAGTATACCTGCAAAGGGAACAGATGTTTTGCCTGAACTGAGCCAAATTCAGAGGCAACCTTCAGCAACATAAAGGTCATATATTCAAAAAGGTTGTGTAGGACACATGATATAGCACAATACTTTTTATTGTTGATTCTGCACTAATATTGTCTTGCGTTCATTTGATTAATATAAAACAAAAAATATTTTTCTGTTCTCATTAAAGAATTTTAAGTTAATGTTTGTCACTCAGCAAACTGCCATGTGCTTAAACATTCAAAATGGTGGCTAGGAAATTGTATTTTAATGTGGAAGGTGTTAATTTCTTCAAGTGAAACTGTACACTTTTTCTATTTTAAATTATCTAAAAATAATTTTATGTATATAATTCCTGCTAGACATGAAAAACTTCCAACTGCCAGAGCAAATAAACTAGGAAAAAAAAAACAAAATAGATAAAAAGTTGCTTAAAGGGCAAATGAATTTATTTTATTTAAATTGTGATGATAGATTTCTGCACTGTTGAGCAGCAATAGGTGTAAAAGGTGATGTAGCACATCTGAGGATGGATGTGTGTATATACATATATATAAGCATCTTTTTTAGAACTTAGAATGGTACTGTTAGAATGGAATAGAGAAACCTAAGACTTTTCATCCTCAAAGACCTAGCCTTGCATTTGTGATAAATTGCTTTCATCATATCATCTATAAAACTTTCATCTGGAGACTGGATACAGATTTATTCTGTATTTACAAATGTAATTCCTGTGGGTAATACCTATAGGTTCTGTAGGTTTACTATAGATATGTCAGACTGAAAAGTTCTTCAAAACTTTGTTTTCCTCATTCTTGCAAAGTTGCACATGCCTAGAAGGGATTCTGCAGTTCTGAAGGGAGCTGTATGCTGCTGCCAGTGCGTAGTTCCAAAGCAGTAATTGTCTTCTGGGTCACCCAGAAGAGTCTTCTGGGTCACCCATGTGATAAACCTTCCAAACAACGGTTTTGATCTCTCTTAACCGTGATTTGGTAATTTCAATATTAATTTGCTTGTTGTTTCGAGTAAACTCTGAAAGAGCTTATTTAAAGAGAACTGTTGACCAGACTATTTGTTCTACAGTTTTGCTGCGCTTCAGGGTGTGAAATTTTTAGCAAGCATTTTTAACACTATTACCCTAATGTGTTGTACTTTGTGTACATGTATTATGTATTATGTAACAATTATTATGTATTATTATGTATTATGTAACAATTCATTTCATTTAAGAAAAAAGTCCTATTTTAAATGAGAATGCCTTGTCAGTAAAAGTGAAAATCTTCAATAAATTGCTATAGTCCAGTTGGCAGAAGTGGGAAATTAGTGTTACATGAGCAGTTTGTTGGGAATTCCTTCTTTCTGTTGCATTTTTTAAGCTTCCATCTCAAGTGGTTGAAAGTTTTACTTAAAAATCTGTCAATATTAAGAGTTCAGTCTCACTGTTTAACGCAGATAGTTGTGATGCTTTTTGAGCTACGCAGGAAAAGGAGACTTTATATTTGTTAGATTAAGAAAAAAGTATTTTAAAAAGTTATCTTTTCCGTTTTTATTCCCAAAAGAAGAAGTATTAGCCTACATCTTCCTCTTTTCAAATAACCTTCATAAGCATTCTTCAGTGTTGTTACTCTTGCTGGCCAATTTGCATGATAACAGTTTGTCCCTGTTCAGTTTGTTATGTATTGTAATTATTCAACCGTAGGACTTGTGCTTGGTGAAGTTTGTCTGAATTTCAGGGAAAGAAAAAAAAAAGTAGTTGAATTAATCTGGGGAAAACAAGAAAGTAAATTGACTGTGAACAGGTAGGAGTGTTAGCTTCTAGACTGAGTAGAAAGTCTGAAGGAGTGGCTGTAGGAGTATTCTCACTTATTTACCTCTTGTCAGAATTCTACAGAACATGGTATCTTCTCAAAATTCTTCCCTGAAACTCTTAGATTTCACTGGGCAAATGCTTCAAGTAATGCTTTTTAATTCCTCATTGCTGAAGAAGGCCAGTAAGATAATACCATTTGGATTATGTTGCATATCTCTTGCAAAGTTGTATAGAAACAGACAAATTTTGGCCAGTATTGGAAGTGTAGGCTTGCTTTCAGCTAATGGAGGAAGGTAGAATCTGGTATTTCTGTTGGCAGGCTGAGCTGCCAAAAAACGGGGTTTCAGTAAAGGCAAGGAATGTCAGGATAGAAAGTTTACTGGCAAAAGTCTGTTCTTGGCAGCTATTACGTAAATTAAGACAGTTCAGAGACATGTTTCAGGGACGGCATTGCAGTTTGGGGCTTCAGAAATGAAGATAAATTATTTGGAGAGCTTGTTGAAAAATGTGTGTTGGAAGACAACCCCTGGACTGAATTAATGAGTATTAAATTGATGATAATTGTGTATTACAGAGTCTTTGGAGTGAGAAATATAGAAGAATAATACTTCTCTTTTTTTTCTTTTTTCTTTTTTTCTCTGTGCAGTAGTATTGGTGCAAAATGTTCCTACAGTGGGTAATAGAAAGAAGTCTTGAGACAGCAGGACTGGAGTCCTGGGCATTCCTTGCTTTAGCTATGGTGACAAAACATTTTATGTTTTTTTTCATGTAGATTTTAAATTAACATTTTGTTAACACAGTTTTGGTTTAAGGACTTCCACTGAAAAGATCTGGTTTTTCCCTGACTCTGTAGACCTTTAGCAGCTGCAGTAAGTACCTGTCTGCTGAAGGTACTTGACACTACAGAGGAGTATTCTGTGCTTGAGATATGCATTCTTTCTATATTCACTTTTATGCTTTAGAGCAGACCTTGCTCCCATGACTGAAATAAAATTTACAAATCTTGATTTGTTTTTCAAGGTGTGACTTTGACAGTAATGGCTGGCTAGAAGGAAATGTTAGTGTTCCATCTGAATGGTACTATACATATTCTATGCTTGTTTGTGTTAAAGGGCTGGGAAATAAGCCCATAATTAAAATTTCAGGAAGGTCATTGGCTTTCTTATTTGCATGTATGTGTAGATAGCAATGGTGTGTTATATTCTATAATGGTGTGTTATATAATCTGCAGGATAAATCATTTTTGTATAATACATGGAGTAATATATCATTTGGAAACACTAGCCATAGTATTCTTAAAATTAAAAAAAAAGATATCCTACAACTTTTAAATCTGTAAGGACACCTTCTCCGACTGACAGAATTTTATGGAGTACTGTGACTGACACAAGAAAAAAACTTGGAGTTCAGTGCCCAATTTGACTTTATGAGCCGCCTTGGATAAATTAAGGTAGTGGAAAAGTAAGTTTCAAGGATATCATTACAGGTTTGGACTTCAGATACATTATTTGAAGAGCTAACTGAAAAATAGAGTGAGAGGCAACCCCTAGATTGACTTAATAGGTATTATTTTAAATTGATGATAATTGTGCTTTACAGATTCATTGGAGATAGAAGTATGGAAGAACAGTACTTTTTTTCTTTTTTTTTTTTCTGTACATTAGTATCACTGCAAAATGTTCCTACAGTGGGTAACCTGTGCATCCTTAACTTTAAAGCTTGAAGAAAATATATTACTACCTGTTACAAAATAGGTTTGTAAGTGTTGCATATTAATATTAACAAATCTAAGAAGAGGAATTTGTCAATAATCTGCTGTTTTGCTGTAGTGCCAGTAAAAAATGGGGAAGTTTGTTCATAGAATTTTAATATCAGCTGACATCCTGTTATGTCATCTCTTTATCAGAGCTGTGTTGTTTTGCTTTCTTAGCACACTGTACTACAGGTTTTGGGATGTTCAAACTTGTTCGTAAGTCCTAATTGAGGCCACCAGATCAGAATTCTCTGTCTAAAGGTTGAATAAGTAAGTGTAGTTGTGCGATGTATCAACATGAAGATTTATAATTGAAACATTATGAAGGACTCTGCAGACAGATTATATATATATATATATTATTTTTTCCTTTGGAATGAAAATCATTTGAAAGGTTTTTAAGATTTGTGCAAGCTTAACACTTGTGTGATCTTTGGCTCAGTAAAGCTTTGAGTAAATGATGTAGTGCATTATAATTTACATGCTTAGTCGCAACAGTGGAGGAACGTCAAGAAAAGTGTAGTGTTCTTAACTTTCAGGCAGCATGTTTTTCAGGCTGTGTTATTGTGCAGTTTTAATGCTGGCTGGTATGACTGAATAACGGAGATTTGACCACTGTGGAACTTGTATGTGAGACTGCATAACAAATACATTAAGTAAAAATATAACTCAGAATTTACAGTTCTGTATTTTGCATTAAAGCTTTTATACAAATGTCTTTCAGCTGTATTTATTATGAAAGTGTGACCATCCAGTTTTATCTCCTGTGGACAACAAGGCTGCTGTTCAGTGTTTTGTATTGTAATTGAAGCCCTAACTAATTTTAATACCTCTCATCTGTGTGAGTAGTTTTTTCTCTGTGACTTTATGGGCTTAATTTTCATTCTGTATTTTTCTTTAGGCTCTCATAAGGACAAAGATAAACCTTCAAGCCTCTCTGTCCTTGAGACTTTGAGGTGTACCTTGACAGCTTACCAGAACAAGCTGGAAGACACATCTAATGAGGTAACACTTGCACTGTTTGGCTCTGTACCTATTGCCTTCGGCCTGCAGCAGTACATGTGCTTTGCTTGTAACAAAGGTCAGAAGAGAGGAAATGCTGACAGCTTCACATATACTAAAAGAAATAGTCTCTGTCACTACTGTTTCTCTAAGCCTGCCTTACAGTGAAGTTTCACTTACATTTGGGAGGAAGGGGAAGAAGAGTGTCTTTTTTTTTCCTTTTTTTGTGTGTGTTTTTTTTTTTTTTAATATGTTGAGCTTATTATTTTTAATAAACAGGCATGGAAATAGTTCTTCTGAATCTCTAATTTCGGCTAAAAGAGAGTGTAAGAGTTTGATGGGCTGTGTATTACATAATAATAGTGAATGCCACTTGAGCCTCAACAGTCTTTGATATCAGATATGCAAATATACACCCTTTTGTATATTTTGGAAGTGGCATACTTTGCTGAGATTAGTGAGTTTATTATGAAGTTTCTCGTTTTTGGTGATTTCCAGCAGTCTTTTCAAGTAAACTTGATACCTTGGCAGTAATTTCATTAGGATATCTAAGATGACAATTGATACATTTCAGTTTTGTGAGTCTTATCTTTGATAAAAAACAAAAAAAAAAGAATTCTTTTGATAGAATTCTGCTGACCTTTTATTTCACTGTCTGAAAAGTCACAATCTCGCATTTATTTTCTCATTTGTATTGCTAATGTAATTAAATTAATCCTCTTGGGTTTAAATGTTTTATGAATTTGTGGCTTTAAAGGTTGCAGAGAGAAGTTAAATACACTCTTCTAAAGCTTTTTTGTACAAAATTGTAAATAACTTATCTTTGGATTAAGTTAGCAAGTACGGATGATAAAAGTGCAGTAAGATTGTAAAAATGCCAGTAGAGATTTTTCATTCCTAAGTTTCGTCTTTTGTCTTTACACATACACAGCCTTGCTGTGCCTTCATAATGTTAAAAACAAAATTGTATCATCTTTGCCCCTCTTATTGGAAAAAGCCTAGCATCCTGGAATACCATTGAGTTTGTTCAATGGGTGCAAAAATAAGTAACCATGGAAACAATTACACTGTAGTAAACAGCAAGCACAGTTAGGTCTCTCCCAGTGAGATAAGAGAACTGACGTGTATAGTCATTATGAAAGTCTTCTGAGACCCAAGTCTGGGAGCTGCAGAGTAACTAGGAACATATTACCCACAGCGAATTGTTATTTGGGAGGAGGAATGTCACGTGATATGCAGCACAGTTGAAAAGTCGACTCAGCAGGCTTTGGCTTAGTGATGTGCTTTGTTGTGAAACTGTGCCAGAGACAGCAGTGGGGAGACCAAGGGGGTGGCTGCTAAGAAAGCAAAGTGAGTATTCTGACAGAAAGAAGAATGAACTGTCAAGGAAAATAAATCACAAGCAGAGCAGGACCAACTGATGACCTGCCACAAGACTTCCCAGTAGGACTGCGTGTGACTGACCCTGAAGTTGTCATACGGAGCCAGAGATCACTGAGCACCTTCATTGTGCACAGAAAGTGCAGCGCTCTGCCCTTTTTCATTGTCCCTGCCCGCACGGATAACAGTGCTTTTGGCTTCTTGCATGTCGGATATGTTTAGTAATAAAACTGTTCCCTATAATACAGTAACACTAAGAGGGACGATAGAGGGCATTGTGCAATAAAATAGGGTGTTTTATTACACACCACTTAGGGTTTAGTTTAGAAGAATTGTGGAGCAGTTATTTTTATAGTGAGGCTTCCAACACGATCACGTATATCGATGAAATTATTAATATACATTTACATATGTGTGTACGTGTGTAATCTGCTGATAGACTTGGCATTTGTCACCTTTAGCTTAGTGTGCTAAATGTTAGATTAAATGGTCTACTTTGGTTGTGTGACTGAAAGATGTACACGTTTTGGTTTTGACAGAACATAAGCTTTTGACTTTTTGTACAGTATACAGGTTAGAATAGGTTTGGAAAGAGAGAAAGGGCTACTAAACCAATAAAATTACTGCATTCTGTAATGTACTGCAGTTATTTCCTTACTTTTTTTGCCAGGTCTACTTATCTGAGAGGGAACAAAAATATAGACTCCAGAATAATTGGTGAATTTTGCAAATGGGATATTTGACTTTCGAGTTGCTTTTGAGTGCTCAGCTGTGAGGAATAACCTTTACTATAGTAGCTTTATATTTGGTGCTTAATTTCAGACATACTTATTATTAACCACTCTGTAACACAGATTGTAGTGATGTCTCTGAAAGTGAAAAATGAAGCTGGTATACATGCTGGTCACGACCTACCTCTAAGATAGGTTATGTCTTATTGTACCTCTCTTGAGAACATTGCTACTTCTTCAGGTTGTGCGAGTGCTATGCTGCCCTTAGTAAAAGTGGAGGCTACTCCCTACATGGACACCTTCTACAGAAGGCCACTGACTTTGAAAACTTGTTTTCTGAAACTACTCCCTAAATCATAATCTAAATGTATTACATTTCAGACACACTTCAGAGTCTTTGTTTTTTGTCAGATGTTTTGAGATGGGAAAGTTAATACTGGGCTCAGTTTGGGATTTTAACCACTACTATTTATCTTTAGTAACTGTAAAATAGCTTTTGGTTCTTTTTTAATGGCACATTATTTAGGTTGTAGAAAGTGTAAATATTGTCAAAGGGATTGAAAAGAAGTTTATTACAAATAATTCTTCCTTTGTATTAAAGTTATTATGTTGCTTTTCTCTAAAAGTCTTCTTGACCTTCATGTTTTTCACAGCTTAAGAAAATGAACACTTTGTGTGAAAACACAGCAAAAGAGCTTGAGGTATCCAAAGACAAGATGTATGTTTTAAGTCAAGACCTTAAGGTAAGGTTTAATGAACTTAACATTGAATTTAAAAGTTCTGCAATTAGTATCCTTCTAGATTTAAGTTATCTTTTTGTTTTATCAGAATAAGTCTCTATGTCTTTATGTTCTGTTAAGCAGACTAATTACCTAGCAAGCTAGTTTGAAGTCATGCTGCCTTATCCTAGTCACAACCTGAGTCTCTGCAACTGAGCATTCCAGTCATTTCACTTCTGAAATGATTTGAAATATTTTTTTTTAATTTGTAAAGTATTGATTTATATTGAAATGAATGTCAATATTTTTTTTCTTAACTAGCTGTATCTACTTTCTGAAGAGATCTAAAATGAAAACAATTATTTAATTACCTCTGAAGAGGTAAAAAGAGGTTAAAGAACATTTTATTTAGGATGTCCTCCAATTTTTGTATCAGACGTTAATATAGGTATTAGGTATCAAGTTAATGCACAGTACAAAGTTGCTTATAGTAAGATGTACCTGGGAACTGCTAAAAATGCTTCAGAACTTAATAACTCTTCTCTTTACTTTCTGAATTAGGATATTTTTTTGTTTGTTTGCTTGTTTGTTCTTTGTTTCTGTTTTTGGCTGACATACCATTTTTGTGGAACTCCTGTCTGGTTACACCAGTGGCCAAGGGACTGAGGAAGTCTTGGGGTTGTGGTTAAATTCAATCTCCCAGTTGATAGTATATTATATTATTGCCAAAATAAAATGTCTTTACTCCCAATGTGGCTTAGATTCTTTTGCTGGGGACATTCTGTATTATCAGATCAGTTTAGTTGCAGATATTTCTGCAACGTACACTGAATCTTATATTAGTTTATATTTGGACACGATCTCTTCTAATTGGTTCTTTCTTTACTAGTTAATTTATGTTGAGGACACATAAGACTACTTCTTCTGTTATAAGTTATTTTAAAATCTTAGGTGCTTTATTTTTTTCTGATGTTTTGCAATAGATATGTGTATTCTTCATGAAAAAAAAAGAGCATGCTTTGTATACAGTACAAAAATTTCTTTAAGTCATTGATAATAAAATTCAATAAATATTTGTTAGAAATTTGCCAATGCTTTCATCTTTAAATATTCTCATTAAGAAGAAAAGTTGACATTGTCTAATGAATTGTCTTTTATATTTTCTGTATAATCAACTATGGTCTTATAGAAAATAAACAGTGCTTCCATTTCGTTTAAGAAAAGCAGTATTTTAACAACCTGTGGCAGTTCCAGAAGTCCAGTGCTCATAGGAACGACAAGCACGTGTATTTACTCAGTCCATGTCAGCAACCTGTGACCCTAAAAGGCGTAATTTAAAAAATTGTTTGTTCATGAGTTTGGTCTTGGTAACATGAAAGTACTTGTAACCATTTCTGTTAAATAGTTTGTTTTCATGGTCACACCTCCAAAGGGACTCCTCAAATTGTTATTATTTTTTCCATACCGTAAAGAGTACATTGTGCACAGCAGCTGTTCATGTTGTCCACCAAGGTGACTGTAGTGGATCAGAGATTAACTTATGAAAGTAATGTGTCTTTTCAGTGTCTTTAAGAGCAATCCACTCTGCTGAGGATAATTTATGTACGTGATTTTTATATTCTCGTTTGGAAAGAGAAACTGGATTCTGAATTCGGAAGGAAATTTTGTCATACCGTGGTGCTTTTGACTTTCAGAGATACATTTCTGATGTTGTCCAGTTCACAGTTATGTCAACTTTGAAAAGTCTATTAGTAGCAAGATGCAGATAGGGAGATGTGAGCGTAGAGCCTTCAGCTGCAGAGCTCTGGAGTAATGTGGCATTTCATGGAGCAAAGTTCTTACCAGCATTTCTGTTCTGTGCCTCTGTTCTGCAGGAAGCACGGGATAAGCTGGCCGATGCCAATAAAGAGTTAAATCATCTGCATACTGAGTGTGCAGACAGAACAGCTTTAATAGGAACTTTACAAATGGAACTACAGAATGTGCAGCAGCGCTGGGAGGAGGAGAAAGTACGTGCCACAGAATCTGAAAATGAAATCCAGAAGCTTACCAGGGCTTACCAGAAGGATATGGAGGTATTACCAGAGACAAGACGACTGTCAAAAAGTCTTTATTTAATCTCACTTTATACATTTACATACATCAGATGGTTACTTTTAGACTTAACAGATTTACCCCAAAAATACGATTTTAAGATACGTATTCTGAAATATGTATTTAATATCTACAAGATCTGAGGATACGTTCTTTCTCCTTCCATCTGTGTTGGAACTAATATCTTAACTCTTCTGGTATTTTGAATTTTTGAACAACTGAGTTTATTTAAACAGCTATACCTGATGAACATTAATTTTTCTTTCAGCTTGAAAGTCAGCAGAAATATTCTATACACTGGAACATACAGTAGTATTGTCTTCACGTGTTGTTAATTACTGATTCACATAGCAATTAATAGTTAGGAAATGTGAAATTTTGCCTGCCTGACCTGAAAATTCTTCTTTGCAACCTGTTAGCTTGTTGTGGTGTACTGTAAGTGGGAATTGCTTCAAAACTTTTTATTTCAGGACTTTTTTCTCTGTCTCCTTATAGATGTTGATTTTCTTGCTTTCTTTCACCCTGTAAAGTAGTTCTGTACTAGCAATAGCAGTGATTTTTTTTATCATTCTTGTCCATATTGAGCTCATTACTTCCACAAATTTAAATGTGCATGCCAGTTTGAGTAAAAAGGAAACATTCTTTCCACCTCCCTAGCAGTCTGGTATTTAAATAGCGTCCACATGAAGCAGCTGGAATTGTTATACACATCAGATAATGATTAAAGTGAAAGAAACTAGAAGCCTGGTTATATTGTAAAGTCAGCATGTCTACTGAACTGTGGTTGCATTCAACATGTGTGAATTGATTTGAGGTCTTGGGATCCCTTATTTTCATGCCAAATGTATAATTATCATCCTTGGTTTATCACAGCTCTAGCAAAAATGCAGTGATGGTGGCACACTGCAGTTTCCTTGGGAATTAAAAGATCTGCCAGAAATAAAATTAGAACAAACTAAACTACTTTACTTTTCTTTTTTTTTTTCCCCCTTGGCCTAAAACACCATGAAATAATTGTGAGAAAATGCACTGAAATGCAGTGAAAGAGTCAGAAAAAACATAGTCTCTCAACTTAGTTGTCCGCAATTCCTTGATTTAAAGCCTCATCCAGAGCCTCTGGAAAACAATGGGAACCTTTCCACTGGTTTATTGACTTTGAATAAGGGCTCTATTTCTTGTGGCTATTGAGGTACAGCTTTCTATCATTTTCTTAATGAAGGCTGCTAAGTTGCACATATGTACTAAAAGGATGAAGTCTGGAATTTCCATTGCCTGCTTTTGTTTCTAAGGAGGATTTGTAACATACCAATTTATTATACCACTGACTAAAATCAGTATAAATGAGAGAGATGTGGGTTGTGAAATTTTACTGATGAAGCTGTAAGCCTGCTTTGTCTAACTATTTGATTGTACACATTTCACACAAAAGAGATTTTTGAATGATTGTAGTCTCAGTTGTTTGAACAGCGTTTTGTGCTGCTCAGCTATGAGACTGCTTTCTGTGTGCTATGCAGGTATTGGAGGTAAGTATGGCTTGAATGTACCTGGAAGTGTTAAATGCAATTTCATCATTTATGTTACTGATAGCACTACTGATAGCAGTGTCAGGTTGCATTGGTTTTGAGCACTGCAAAATTGGGTTTTCTGTATTTATATGGTATTTCTAATCGTACAAATGTTGTACAAACTGTGTTCCTATTCTAACTTTAACATGTTTGACTGTGAATATTAACAGCATTGCCTTTGAAAAGGTTTGAGAATGAGCTCTTATGTGTTTGTTTTTTGTTTTTGTTTTTTTTTAAATCTGTGTTACTACAAGTGTGATGTATCTCTTTGGATTCTAACATGGTTCATAGTTAACAGTTGATTTTTCTTTTTGTCTCAGGAGAAGCTAACCTTCCTTCATGGCTTGTACCAGCGTTTGGTAGCTGGCTGTGTGCTTATAAAACAACCAGAAGGCATCCTAGATAGATTCTCTTGGTCGGAGCTTTGTGCAGTCTTGCAGGAGAATGTTGATGCCCTGATCTTAGACCTCAACAGGGCTAATGAGAAGGTAAGTGTCCTTAGGCACCAGCTACCTCTATTAAATTCAGTGACATTTGTCCACATCACAGTATCATTAAAAAGGACTGACATTCATCTTATTTCAAAAAGAATTTGGGCGTTAATAATTCAATACCATTAATTATGGCTTGTCTACAACTCAGTTTGATGCCATTGCTGTGGGCATGTAGAAGTGACTGAAGTCTGTATGAAGTCTCTAAGCTCCGCTTTCTGTGCAGGACATGCTAATAGTACTAGCCAATATTAGCCACAGGGACCTAATTAAAAGAAAATAAATTAATCTTACTGATGAAGCAATTCAAAGAACTTAGTCATTTACACTAATAAAGCAAGTCTTTATTTTAGCATAAAACAGAAACAAAATGCACTTACTTTAGGAACATCATTTTTAAATTATGTGCTTAAGATTCAGATATACTACTGGAAGAAATGCCCTATGTATTTTTTGTTTAATTATAACTTCTTGACCATGAGATTTATATTCAGAAATACAATAGAAAACAGTTATTTTTGTAAAGTATGTCAGTGTGTGCTAATATTTGTTCAAGGAGGGAACTGCACTTTTCTGAGTGACTTCAGTGTTACTAAGCTTTCGTGGCCATTCTTCGACTTTTTTTAGGAGAAAGAAAAGTTTTAAAAGGACTTAAACTGGCTCTTCTGTCTAACACACACCACTCTTCAGTTTCAGTTCATGTTCTGACACCTTCGATCAGGGCAGTTCTAGACTGACATGGTCTAGTAGAATGGTTCCAGATCCTGGCTGCTTTGGGCATGTTGGTATTGAAGCATCAGAAGGGAAAGGCTGTTTCAGAATCTTCTCATCTGCTGCAATTGTGGGCAGACTTGAGACAGAGCTAGTTTTATTCAGAGAATTATTCTGACTCTTCCCATTATTTGGATAATAACCTAACAGTCAATCAAAACTACAACAGAAATGTAGATGAGAATAAATTCCGGACTATGGAGACTGACTGTACAGGCAAAATTTCTATTTTCATTTCAAAATAGAGGTGGAAAGAAAGCAGAAGTGAAGGGAGTGGACACTGTTGGCAGTGACTTAGGGTATATTTTTCTTCTTTCATCATTTTAATTAAGTAAGCTTGTTGTGATTGATTAAGAGGGCTGTAGGGCGCTCATCACATACTTATCAACTTTTTGAGGATTTGGGGTAGCCTTCCTTCTGTTTTCTCAGAACAAAATTTTTCTTCTGCTCTGTCATGTGATGGTTTTTAAAAATACATTGCTGGTACTCTTTTGTAACAAAATATATGTATGCGTATTTAGAGATTATTGTTAGCTTCATTCATTCCTCCATTAGTTTGCATGGGAACTGAGAAGTTGAATCACAGAGTGAATCCTTTCATGCATGCTCATTGGAATCACGTCATAATCTAGTGAGCTACTTTTTAGAAAAATCTTCTATGCACTTCTTGCAGTCACTTTCATACTCAATGTATGAAAAGCATTGGTTTTCTAAGGAAAGAAAAAATAAAATTAAGAGCTAGTTTTTTTTTTCATTATTACTTGCAGTTCTTGCAAGCTACTAGAGGACTAGTATGATTGGATTACTAATTTAGCAATACAAAATTTAGCTTTTTTTCAATGTAAGCAAGAGATCTCTGGTTCAGATTTCCAAGAAAGAAGGCAGCAGTTATCTTCAAGAAAGAACAAAGGTGGCCAGAATAAAAGCCATTTTTCTAACATATGTCTTGCAAGATTCAAGAAAGTGTTCTGTCATGAAAGGCTTTTTACTTTTAATAAATACGTTGAAGAAATTAAAATTTAGATTTTATGCTGCAAGAGTCTGTGCTTAAATTAATATGCACAGTTAAAGTCAAAAGGTTTACACGTGGGGAGATAATGTTTCTTTTTAAACACCTGTCACACAGATATCTCACCTAGAATATATTTGTAAGAACAAGTCTGATACTATGAAGGAGCTTCAGCGGAGCCAGGAAGATGATATTAGCAAAATGGCTGAACAGATGAAAGCACAGGAAAGCTGTTGGCAGAAACAAAAAAAGTGCCTGGAACAGCAGTACTCAGATCTCCTTGGGGAAGTTCATGCAAGGGCACAGGTATGGTGCTGTGAAGTTCTCTTATTTTTTTTCCTTGTAAATATTTAATGGACTATTTCAGTAGTTTGAGCTTCTAACCAATTTCAGATTATTTGGGAATTTTAGTGTATTTTAAAAATAATTTAAAAAAAATACTGCATCACTACAGCAACTGTGCTAGTTTTCATTTCTCTCGGAATAGGAAGCAAATGACTATTTAAATACTGCTTATTTCAGTCTAGCACTTACTAGTGACTTTTTTTTTCTTTACAGCTAAAGGTGTAAGATAAAAATTACTTGTATTAGAAATTATGTAGTAAAGCAGCGTACTGAAAACATGGCTCTCTGCTGTGGGCTATGCGTTAGCCAAACCTGGAAGATGCTTTATCTTTCAACTAATTGTAAAGAACTGCTGTGTTTATACCCAGGAAATGCTTTTTCTTAGAAATATCTGTGCATATTTTTTAGAAAAAAAAGTTGCATAGGTGTAGAAACTGATGGGGTTGGTACCTTGGCAGTGTAGCATCTGTATGCACAGATTACTCAGCAGAACTTTGTTGCATCTTTGTTCTTTCTAGACTTCCAGTTTGCATGGAATAAGACATTCTAATTTCCTCTGAATTTCTGCTTTTCAAGTTTGGACCTGCAAATATTGATTAAACTTTTACCTTTTTGAGCTCCACAATCTTCATGGATATCAGCAGTTAGGACTGCTGTAGTCTTGACTGCCTGCTTCTTGCGAGACTTGATTGTCTTTTCCTTATTATATTTCGGTCCTGTCAACTGTGTTAATCTGGACAGTTGCTGCAGTGCTGAATCAGTTATGCAGATACGCTAATGTAGCTTTATTAACATAGAAAGCATATATGAAGGCAAATAGAAAAATGGCAGTTCAGACATGTGTCTTAGATCTGTATTCATGACTTTATCAGTTTTTCTGAGAGCTGTAACTGCACAGCAGTGTGAGTAAAATATCTTGGAGACTGTTGTTTTGGTGTCTTGGAATTGACGTGGAGAATTGGAACTTTTCTGAAAGGTTCCTTTTTAATTGAAATGGGATGTAGCAATATGGAGACAGTAACAACTGCCAGTGCTTCTGCCCTCAGCTAGTACTGTTCAGGATCCCTGACTTCAAGATAGGATCTATGGTTACTGTTAGATTGTACATCAGAGCTGTTATTGTTGATCAGGTGAATGATGTAACCAGAAAGCAGTTTCACTGTTTTTCTGTATGGCAGAATTTCCCAGAGTTGCCTTAATACTGATCAGCAATAAACAAACTCCCTACAGATAATGCCATTCTTGTTCCTGGTTTCCATATTCTGTCAGTTGAGCTTAAAATATCCCTTTTCCCTGCCTTATGTAGAAAAAACAGTCCCCATGATTTGGTAGAGTGCCATTCTGAAAATGTTACTATGCCTATTCCTTAGCCTCACACAGATTATTTATTTAGCCAATGCATAGTCTCATAGGAAATGTCTTCTGAATTTTAACTAGCAGTTGTTGTTTATTATATAGGCATTTATTAATCTGTCCCCATTTCTTGGGGCAGCTGCTTAAAATAGGAGGGTTTTGTTCTCATATAGGAAAATACGTTGTAAGAGAAAAATCCTGTAACTGTGTAGTTTGTTCCAAAAGTAATTCTTCCTATCTGTTTCTGTGGAAACCACAACAGATACAAACAGCACAATAACACTATTTGAAAGTCCAAATTCTCAGCTACAAAACACAAAACGTTGTTTTTCAACATCGTTGCCATCATTAGGTATGCATTTTTGCCAGCAATGAACAACAGCCTGCATACGACACTTGTAAAAATCTGCACCAGTGAAACTTGGTTTCTGTTACTGTTTCATATTTGCTATGATGGTGGTGGTTTTAGAAAAATGTTGCCCACATAGTCCATTTTTCATTGGCCCAAACAGATGAAAGTCAGAACGATCCAAATCTAGACTGTATGGTGCTTGAAATAGGACAGTTCATCCAAGATTGGTAGTGTTCTCCACTGTCTGGGGCCTGGCATTATCGTGTTGCAGGAGAAACCTTATCTTCTTATGTGGCCTGACTCTGGAAGTTCAAGCCATCAGCATTTCAATGTAGCGTTCAAGGTTGATGGTTTGTCCAGGTTGCAGGAAATCCAGAAGGATCTCCTTTCCTATTCCAGAAGATAGTGCATACCCTTTTACCTGCTGAAGACTGCATATTGAGCTTTCTCTTTGATGAGGATTTCACTGCTCCATGGACTGCCATTTTGAATCCTGCTAGTAGTGGTGACACTACCATCATTACCAGTCTTATCACTGGTAACGATGCAATTACGAGACCAGGAGATTGTCACCTTCAGTTTCATATTCATTCATTATTTCCTGACAAATGTGTATGTGGTGTTCATTCTGTTCCTGAGTGAGCAATCATGGGACCCATCTGACGCAAACTTTGTGATATTCCAGTCTTGTCACCATCATTTCAATGCATTGAAGCAGATATTTCTAGTTCCATGCGTAGTTCCCTGACTGTAATTTGTTGATTCGTCTGGATGCAGTGATGAAGGCGCTCTTCATTCTGCGATGTAACAGCTGTGCATGGCTATCCAGAATGTGGCTTGTCTTTCATGTTGTTTTTTCCACTGCTGAAAACCACCACCCACCACCTCACTATGCTCACATCCAGTGTTTGGGCTCCATAAATGTTCAGCAGTCATCGATGAATGTCAGCGGTGCAGTTTTTTCTGCATGGAGGAATTCAGTGACACACTTTTTCTTTGTCTACACTTGCATGTCAGATGCCATTCTGTCAGACTGGCCCTCTGCTACCATCTGTCCGTAGCATCAACATGTAATGGAATAGTGTTGGAGAAGTTCAACCTCTCTTCCATACCAACATCACCTGCCTCTGATGTCTTGGGCCAACATTACACAATAGGAGGCATTACTTTCAGTAATGAAAGTCTGAATTTTTAGTAAATGGTTCTTAAAATTCACCAAGTTTGTAAGCCACTCAGGAATCCCTCAGAATTGAAGCACCCAAGGAAGCTGGCTTGCCAGCATTTAGGAGGAGCATTCTGTATTTCTTTCAAAATTGTCCATTTGAGTTTCAAAGAAAGCCTTAAAAATAATGAAGAGGAAGTTGTAATTAATTATTAGACATTGACAGTATATCTTTTTTTAAAAAAAATCTGTTGTTAGGGAATGTCTTGTTCACTTTTGCTTGTTCTCATGTAACTAGAAGGATTTAAATACTATATTTTATTTAAAAAAAAAAAAAAGAAAAGTAAGCTTTAATTAGCTAGAGAACTGAATGTTAGTGTAGCTGCCTAACAGCCTGTAGGGATCATACTTTTATGTTTGTTTACTCAGATATTGGCCTTTCACCTGTTCTGGCCAGAAACCGTAAGTTGTTTTCTAAATTCAGCTTACCTTTTGAGTTGCTTCCAGTCATGCTACCAGCTTTTTTTTTTCTGTAAAAATCAAACACTGTAAATAATACAGTAGCTCTGAAAATATTGTACACGTTCATACTTAGTTTTAGAGTGAGATATGAGGCCTCTGAGTTGCATTTTATAATTGAATTGTTCAGTTATCTATTCTACTTTTGTGTTACGGGAAATATTTTAATAAGGCTACATTGTTTTACATACCAGTAGGTTTTATGAATGCTGCTTTCTCAATATCTGTATTGTCAAAACATCTGCAAAATCTACCTGCTGTTGTTTTATTTCTTCCTCTTGAAGAGGAAGATGTGTAAGTGTGGTCATGAAGGTGTCATTCTGTTTGTCTTCCTAGTCTAGACAAAATGCTTTTTTCCTCCGTCAAAAAAATATTTAAATATTTATTTGGTTAAAGACCTTCTGAGCTGTCAGGGTTGCCTTTTTACAGAAACTTGTAAACTTTGTTTCAATTCTAGGGATAGCTTATGTACTTTTTCCTCTCCATGTTTATTGGAAGAGGCAGAAGAAATTAGAGTGCATCCATTTGCTTGAGGCCTGTAGCAAAGTTGACATGTAGAAACATGGCTGGTAGATACCATTTGAGTTCTGTTTTGCCCTCATTTTCCCGCAGGAATAACCACTGATCCCCATTTTTAAACAAAACTGTTAAGGGCTCCAAGAGAGGGAGCTAAAGCTTAATGTAGTCCTCTCTGTTTATCATACTGACTTGGCAGTCTACTTTTTTGTGTTCACATATTGTAACTAGAGCTTGAAAGAAAAAAAGCTTGACTTGAGCTTGTGGTTTCTTTGTGAAGTGTATAAAAATTACTTCTTTTTATCACTGGATCCTGCTTAAAGTTAGACTCAAGTACTCCAATCACAGAGGACTCTCATGCATCAGGAAGCCAATCTAAGCCTCTGAGGCTAAGCATAATGTCTTGATTCTAGTACAAGAACATGCATGGCATCAACACCAACGAGCATGCATGGTCTAAGTATAGTCCTGGTGTTTTTGATGTCATCACTTTTCTTCTTCACTGTTTTTAACATTCCTCCTTCCCTGTTTAAAGGCTTAGAGAGGGAAAAAAATGATACAAGTTGAAAAAAATCCATGATGGATGTAGTGAAAATAAAAATGCCTGTATTACATTGTTCTTTTCAAAACAGTGTCTCTGTTCTGTATGAGGCATAATTAATCTGTGAATTTATAAGTAGGGGGTTGATTACAAAGTAATTAGGAGATCACCTTTATTTCCCCTTTCCCAGCTGCTACCAATCTGTCTATTTTTATCTTCCAGAGTTTTCCTTACTTTTTTTCCTCTCATACTTTCTTTTCTGCTTTGAAGAACAATGTTCTTTCTGAAACAGGAACATGTAGTTGTGTATTGTTAGGCAAACAATTGTGTTGTGGACAGCCAGGTACTGTTGATCACTTGCTGTGATCTATTGTTGTAAATGTGGTTTAGCTTCAGAAATCTGGAGTCCAGTCAGAGTTACAGAACACTGTGCAAATTTTACTCATGTTGATGTTTAGTTTGCATATATGTGTTTCTATAGCTTTTTTCTAGGAGACATGTTTTAGCTATATTGTTGACAATATTCTTTTTTTTTTTTAGGTGAAATGATTTTTTTTTTAATTTAAGCAATTACCTTCAGTTAATATATCTTCTATTTTGTTTTGTTTTGTTCTGTTTTGTTTTTCCTCCTCCTTTATCCCAGGAATACCAAGAAACAGCAGAGAACAACAAAGAAAAAATCTGCGTCCTTGAAAAAAGACGGGAGCAATTGGCCCTTGAAAATCTCTATGTGAAAAATACATTAACACAGATTCGGAAGGAGCATTCATCTCTCCTGGCAGCATGTGCGCTATTGGCAGGTGCCCTGTATCCTCTCTATGGCCGATCATGTGCCATGGCTATACAAAGAGACCTTCTTCAGGAGCAGGTCAACGTTTATGAATTAGTCAACCAGGAAATTAGGACTCTTGTTCATGTTCTCTCTGGTGTAGATGGGGAGAAGGAAGATGATGCGAAAATTAAGAAACAAAAATTCAGAGGCCTGATACGTGTGTTCCGAAGAGGTGTGATTGCAGTTTTGGCAGCTAACAGACTTAAAGTTCTATCCCAGTCTTCTAGTTGCCTCTTCTCGTTGATAAATGGCTTTAAAGAAGGCACTGGAATTCTAGTGTGTGTAGGGGACTCCAAAGGCAAGCATAATATGTCAAGTAAGCTAATTGTTTTCTTGCTTTATAAATGTTATGTCACATTACATGGTTAGTGAAAAATAAATAATAATGTTGGTAATAGGGTAAAGTAAAGTCTCATGTATTAACATCTTAACAAATGGATTTTCCGCATTTCTTGACAAATGTAATTTCCCCAAAAAAGACACTACTTAGTCTGTACAGCTGTAACCTTTCTTTCAGTGCTTCACATGTGATTTCATTCTGTTTGATATCTCTGACACTTCTACTATGTGTTTTGGAATTAGATACCACCATATCTTCTGTTTCATCTGTTTTAGAAAAAATAACTCTTTTTATAAATCAGTTTCACAATTTTTATCCTACTCAAAATGGGAAAAAAAAATTGCATTTTGATTCAGGTGAAATATTAGTATAGAATGTCTGATGTATTTTCTCTGGAGATTATATAGTCTTTCTCTTCCTTTCTGTTACCAAATTGCTTCCCCTCCAGGAAAGAATGATATCCAAAATGTTTCACAAACTCAAAGATTCATTTACTTTCCTATTTGCTTTATTAGCTGTTGAAAAATACTTAATGTAGTCTAGAATATGCTAAAAGAGGAGTCAGTTTGTCAGTTATACACTTAAGTTTTGATCAATTTCTGAAAGATATAGAGATGGTAGTCTGCCTTATCTGTGTTATTCAATTTTATTGCTCCCTACAATTCTCTTTCACAGGACTCAACAAGGAAGGAATTGGTTGTGTTGAAGCACTCAACTGGTTTACTAGTTCTGATCTCCTTACTGCAATAATCAGTTCTGTCACAGAATTACAGGATATTATTAGCAGAACAGGTAAATTAAAAAATATTATTGTAGTAGATTCAAACACGTAAACATATCCCATGAATTATGAAGTTCACATGATTGAAATTCTTATTGTTTTATATGAACTATTTTTTATTAAGTCTTGGTCATGGAAACAGAAGGCTTAAGAGTGTTTTTAGAAATCACCTGGACCTCTTTCTTGTGAGTAAGAAAAAATACGTGTGCTGTGCCAGTACATATGTGGCTAATTTGTTCTTAAAAATTTCTAGTGATGTATTAAAACATTTTAAAAGCTGCTTTTTTCATATTTAAGGAATATGTACCAAAATATTTAAAAGCTTACTAGTTACCTTCCACTTTTCTAACATTCAAAAAAAATTTTACTGAAGACCAACCTTATTTTTTATATGAAGTGTATGGCATTTCTGATTTAAATGTGGACCCTAGAGCTGGGACTTATTTAACCTGGGATAGTACCCCCACTGACTGTGTGAATTTTCTACTATGTTTTACAGGAAATGTGTCTAAATACCAGATGTGAACTTAGAATTTCTGAAGTTACTAGCATCTTGAAAACAATTGTCTTTTCATACTGTTTTCATCTTTTGTACTTACTATTTTGCTGTTTCTGACAGAGAAATAAATACCTGTCAATTTACACACTATATAGCAATCTTTATCTTGTTTCCCTATTGTATTCCCTCTTTAAGCAAATCCTTTTGTCACAGTTACTTAATTTTCTTAGCCTCTCCTCACATTTGTGTTGTACTAGGCCTATGGAAAATTTTAATGCCAGTCTTTGGATATGTTATCTCTTGATTCCCATCTGTTAGCTGTTGATATCTTTGCTAAGAAGACTAAGATAAAATCTCACTTGGTTCCTCTGCATTGCTGTTACCCTTGTTTGTTCTTTGCTACCTGGCAATTTTGGAGTCCCAAAACCATGTCACAGAATAATAGATATTAAAGGATATATAAAGAATATTAAAAGAAGGATAATTTACAGAAGTGAAGCCATTTAATGAAAAATATTTTGATTGAGTTTCAGGTGCTCTCTTCATGTCTAATCCTGTTTTCAGCAATTTATATCCATACAGAACAAAGTTCAAACTGTTTTTCAAGACATTACAGGGTTTATACTGCAAGTATTCTTGTGTATGGACTACTTAATAAGATCTACAAATACAAAAGATAAACTCTAGTATAAACTCTACTTCTGCATCAATATGCTGAATTTGACTTGTTAGAATACCCTAATTGTCTTTTACCCATATTGAAGTAGATGAGCATTTTGATAGGCTTTTATATGAACTTGATTTTACTTGATATCTCTGTACGCAACACAGTTTTTTTGGTGTTTAGAATTAGCAAGAACCATGCTGAGAATATTATAACTGCAAATAATTTAAGTCATATTTTTAGAGAACATCAAGTTCTTACTGCTCGTGTAGTACTTGAGATTCCATTACTCATGGGATCAAAAGTCTCTGAAGAACCTTTGGTTCAAAAAATATTAATAAGTCATTGGACATCAAATTTCCAGAAGTACAGAAGTGACAAAGCTGTGTAGGATATATTTGAAAGAAAGGTTTGCATATTTTTGCTTTTATTTTCTGCAAGCCCTATTTCAAACAGGATTTAAAGCTGCAAACTGGCTCGAGTGATTTTGAAAAATGTTTGAATATAAGTAGACAATCTGAGAGGCATTTTCTCTCATCAGATCTTGAAATTCTAGCACTTCCAGATTAGAGTTGCCGTCATAGGAGAGAGAAAGCACAAGGAAGAAAGTTCTCTGTGCATCTACAGTATGAAATGGTTCAGTGTCTTGAAAGGGCTTTTAAAAATGACCAGGCTCTGAGGAATTATTTGGGGCATTTCAGAGAACCCAAATCTGTCACACAGAATTGGAACTCTGGGATTTGTGCTTTGAGGCGCATTTATTGTGCTTCTAATTTAAAAAATAAATATGCTTTCTCTTTTAACATTCATGATTGTTTCCCATCACATTGGTTCATCCTCACTCCAGCATGTCTTGAAATGATCTCTCGTGTTCAACTTGATTAGAAGTTTAAGTGCACTGTACTACAGTAAATCAGAAAAAGTATAGATCAAGTATTTTAAATACAAATATAATCAATTGAAACATATAGAAAGGCTTTGAAATTTGATCTTTTAGTTAATTTTAGTCTTGTGTAGTACTGTAGTACTATTGAATTCATTCTCTTGACTGTTTTATCTTTGTTTTATCTTTGATTCTTTGTTGGCATATTCTTCAAATATATATGCTTAAAGCATACATTCTCTACCCAGTGGTTATAGATAAGTTCCTTGTGGAACTTCATCATATTTTTATTTTATCTTTCAAAACAGTAAATTGTATCAACTTCGATTTTGAAATAGGATAATAACTTGATGCAACACAGTTCCTCCAAAATATTATTATTAGTTTAATTTAAATGTGGTTAAACTGGTGATTCTAAACATAGGAGAAACATCTAAACATAGCAGACCATCTTTAGTACTGAATACATTGAGAAATACTGGCAATAAATGATACAGGCAAACTGTATCACGTAAAAAGACGTAGACGGAAGTGCCATGGTTAATGGAGCAAAAAGAGGTTATTGACATATCAGTGTTTTCATATCTACCAAGAATCACTTTGAAGGAGAGGTTTTTGGAAGGTTTTTGTGTCTTCTTATGTGTTAGGTAGTAAGCATAGTTCCAGTTTTAGGTAAATTGCACTAAGCATTCGAACTAATCATTGTCATTACAACTGAAGAAATGAGAGGGTCTTTAAAACTGAAAGGGAGGACAAGACTAAATTTTTCAAGAGTTGAAATGACAAAGAGAGCTGATCTTGAATGTGATCGGCAATGGAGAACCAGCAGAAGAAGAAAAGGAGGAGCCTTGGCAAAAGGAGGCACAGCATTGCAATACCCGTTTCTTCTGGCTAAGACAGGAATAATTTTTTCCTGTTTCAAAAGCCGCTTGGTTTACTGAGGTAAAATATAAAAGTGTTGGACGATGTTTTTAGCTTTAAAGATGAGTAGAAGGAGACCTATCTAAGGAAATGAAGAAACGATAGATTTACTATTAGTAGGAGTTATGGAGAGCATGAACTAAAAAATGATAATTTCAGTTTAATCACTGACATCATTGAAATGGTGGTATTTTGAAATAGAATTAGGAGAATGGCTGTGAAAAAATACTATCTGACCTTATCATGCACTATTTCACTTGTTTGCTTACAGGCAATTTGGTTCTTATATGTATAAATGATGTATTCTTTATAGTGAGAATCGAACTCTGAAGATAGCAATAATCTTATTTTATTTACTCTGAACCTTTGGCTTTATTCTTGTAATGTATAATAAGAAGAAATTATTTTACTTACTAAAAGCTATCACTATTATTTTCTCTGTATACACTTTTAAGTAAATATTTTAATTCACTACAGCAACAGGAGATCTGCTGTACTACTGAATGTAAATAAGCTCTTCCATGCTTGTCATCTTACACTGATAGTATCATAAGACAAGTAATGACAGATTAAGACCTGCCTAGCAGGGGGAAAACTAAATTACAAGACTTTTATTAAGGCATAAATAAACCTATTAACTCTTATCTGGAATACCAATTAGTGGAAGGAGCACTGACAATTTTATTTATCAACATTAAACACAATTATTAATTACAGACCTGACGAATCTAGCAGTAAGCAGGACATGTTGGGTGTGCTGGGGCCTTAAGTCCATTATATGAGAAGGATGATTACCAAAATCCTGTGGGGAAATAAGTAATTGTAGCTGTAAAATTTTAATTGCCTTGGAATAAGGTAAATTATATTCTCTTGTCTCCGAATATAAATACTATGGCATTAAGGTACCAAGGCTCACTAATTTTGAACAGCAAATGATTTAGACATCTATGGAGGGGAGGGAAGAGGAATCAGAAAATGCTCAGAAATTTGCATTGTAAATATTGTGATAAAGTGATTCACCATGTGCTATATTATCTGATATATTTGATCTGACTTGCATTTTGCTTGCATCAGTCTTACTTTTTTTTTTTATAAATCACAAAATATGAGCATGCAAAAAAGGCTTCAGAATGTGTAGTGTTGGAGGAGAACATTTAAAAAGATACAGAAAACAGTTATTTGTAAAACGCATCCTATTCTTTTAGATCCTATCCAGTCTTGCCCTTCCTATCCAGAGATTGATAGAAGTAGACTGTTTAAGTACAGAACTTGTTCTATATTTGCTCTGATACATTCCCTGGTCCTCAGTCTTCCATTATCTGAGGCAAATTTCCTGCTGATAGATGCTATTTGTTGTTACTTTTTTTTTTTTTCTGAAAAAATGAGATTCTTAACCTCTTTCATGTTTTGTTGTTATTTCTTAAAGACCCAAAGTCTTGTCTTTCTGGACGCTTGCTTGTAAGTGCAGCCAGGAACTCCTTTTCAAAACTTACGGACAAGCTTAATACAATAATGGAGACTGTTCCATTAGATAGCAGCAGGAGCGTTACTTACGTGGAGAAAAACTCGTTGGTACGGAGGCTGGCTCGTGGACTTCATAAAATAAATGCACAAGCTCTGGAAGCTGGATCATGTGACAGATGGCCCATTATGGTATGCATGTTTATAGTGCTACTTCAAGTAAACAGTGTGTTCGCAGCGCAAGTGTTACGGTGTAACTCTCTTCATGGTGCCATTAATTTTGTTCCAGATTTATGAATCAGTTACATTGAAGTCAGCTAAGTAGGGATTTAGAATTTGATTTGCAACGCCATAAAACATCATGTCTTGGGTAGATCTTCTAAAGTTTAGGAATTTTAAGAAGGAATTTGAGGTGCGCAAGAAAAAGTTCTATCAAAATTTCATTTACAGGAGCAAACTTGCTTTTCAGCTACTACATGTTAAGGTTTGTTTGTTTGTTTTTTTCTGTTAAGGTTACCTTCCAGGGAAGATAACCTTCTCCTCTCTAATAGAAATTAAAGGTTAAGGTCTCTCTCGTAGAGCCTGTCTTCTATTGTGAGTCTTGCATGAAAACAAGATAATTCTCTGGAAACAAAATTTTCAATAACCCTCAAAGGTGGATGAAATGCATTCATGTTTTTGCACTTGTGCATCTTCTGGAGATGGAGAACAAGACAATAGTTTTGCATAATTTTCTTGAATATTACTGTTACTGCTTTTATAAACAGCGTATAAATACAAAATGGCACACTTTTATAGCACATGAAATTCTTTCCATTTACCAACAGAAGAGCATAGCATCCTTGCAGAAGCAAATATTTGAATTGACGCAAAGACTTCATACAGTAGAGGTGGAGCGCCGCTCACTACGCATAGAACTTGCAGAATTCAAGTTGAATTTCAGTCAGATGAAACAGGAGGCTGACAAAACCCAGAGCCTGAAAGAGCAATTAAGTTTGTTTAAGCAATCTGTAAGTATATTTGATTTAGAGGAGACTGCTTACAAGAGTCCTCCCTTTTATGCATTTTTTTCCATTTGTATTCTTTTGAAAAGCAAGTGTAAAGTCAATGTACTATTAACAGAATTTTTCAAATATTTTACCTTGTAAATGTCTAAACCATAAGCAAAATGCATTTAGAAATATCTCCTACCCGCAGGAGTTTTGCTTTGGCTTGCAGAATAAGGTGTTTTGTGCAAATTACACATTTGGATTTCAGCAGTTCAAGTTTAGTTCTATATGTTAAAATGTTGATGTTATTTGTATGCCCTAAAAGAATTTATAGATTTCACATCAAAAGAGTAAATTTGGCTAGAGTGAGGGTACACAGTAAGTACATTCATGACAAACTCATAAGCAATAATGTAACATTTTAAATTCTACATTTATATTGAATTGAAAAATAATAAGACAGGATTCTGTAGCTATGTTGGTCAGAAAAAAAAGGCCAAGGAGAGTGTTCCCCTTCTGATAAATGTGAAGGCAGTAGTGGCTTCAGCAGACTTGGAGAAGGCTGAAGTACTCAGTGAGTTCTTTGCCTGATTCTTCACTGGCAGTCAGGCTTCCCACACTTTTCATGTACCTTAACCTCTGGGTGTGGACTTCAGGGAACAAAATCTCTTTCACTCTCTTTCCAGGGGAGGGCCAGTGCTGAATGATGTCTACCAGGGTCATGTCTTCGTATCCATGCTCTTCAGCATCTTTACCAATGATTTAGGCAGTGGGGTTGAGTACACCTTCAGCAAGCTTGCTGATGACACTGAACTGAGTGTTGTAGTAGATACTATTGCAAGGAGCTGCACTTGGGCCAGAGTAATCCCAGATATCTGTACAAACTGGGGGAGGATCTCCTTATGAGTAGCTGTGTGGAGAAGGATTTGGGGGTCCTGGTGGAGGTTTCTTAACTACTTAAAGTCATTATGTAACAAGTAATGGTCCTATTCTGTGAGGGATTTAGTCTTCTCAGATTATCACTGCCCTAGAACTTGAATTCTTTGTCCCCAGTATGCCCTTTTGTAGATGGTTGGTGTACTCATCATGCTCTTTCATCTGTACCGTCAGTCCTTATTGCAGTGAGAAATGCTGTGGGTTGACTGGACACCTTTCTTCCTGTAATTCTATTGCTTAAATTCAAAATTGATCTAATGATTTAGCAGATTGAGAAACTGGGTGGATAAGTGTCCCCATATATGCTTTTTTGCTGCTTTGGGCAGCCGTAATAGTCATTTCTCAGAATGAGCAGTGTTAGCTGTAGTTGTGCCAGAAGTTGATCTTGAGGCCCAGGTGATAGACCTGTTAGAGTGACCCAATCAAAACACTTAACCAGAAAATATCTAATAGATTATTTTACTTCTTGTTCGTAGGCAGTAAAATAATTTTTTTAATTTAAATGAATGAGGGTATCTGATCATCTTCAGTTTTGTTCATAATGGTTTTATCCCCTTTTACAGTTCTGGGGTGCTTAAATGAAAATGTCATTTAGATGTGGATGCTTTATTTCTTTCTTCTGATCCATATTGAGCAGAGGAGAAATGGTCCAGGGAGGCATTTACAATGGCTAATATGTTGCACGCTGAAATGTGATGTTGATCTTCATATTTCCTTTTTAATACTGATTTTTTTACAACCTCACTATGTTAATTTGGATAAAATAATTAATGCATACTGTTTACAATACCCTAAATGCTTTTTTTTTTTCCAGAAAAAGTTGCCTACTGTTTAGTACTTCATGATCTGCCTTCATATTTAAAAACCTAAGTGTTCATCTTGAGCATGCTTTTATTTTAGAATTTTGTATGCTAGCAAATAGAATTCTGGAAGTCAAGCATGTAAACAAATGAATATAGTTATGCAATCAAACACAATTTATTTCCCTTATCAGAAATTGATCGCTCACAAGAGGTTTGAAAGTGCATGTGAAGAATTAAATAATGCATTACATTGGGAGCATCAAGCACAAGTGCTGTTGAATGAACAGGCACAACAGCTACAGGAGTTAAATAATAAACTAGAATTGCACTCCAGTGAAGAAGCAGATAAAAACCAAGTCTTAAGTGAAACTATAAAGGTAAGATGATTATTCTTACAAAACAGACACCTGAAGTATACCTTTTTGTGAATGAGCAAAATCTTTCAGGTTTTGTTTAAATAAAATGTCAGTAGTAATTTAATTCATACTGCTCAATCTATTGGAGTTCTGTGGTACTTAGAAAAGACTTCCAAGATGAAATGTTAAGATATGATCTCCATTTTCTGTTTTTAGGAGTATCCGATGTGCAGCAGTATCAGTAATCTGTGAAGTATTTTGAGCTGGCATTGTAGATAAGAGAGGGGAGTTTTAGGTGTCACGAGGTGTTTGCAGGCTAAATGAAAAAGAGGAAATAAATGAGTTTCTTTTCTAGAGATCATTAGAATATTTTAAAATCTCAATTAACTGTTTTCTGAATCCTAAGTGCAAATAATGCATTTGCTAAGTTGTTAGGTGAGTGTATTGAAAGAGGTCCTTTTTCACCAGAAATTAAATTTTCCTCAGACATATCAGTAATGAAGAAAAAGAACTTTTATCAGCAACTTTGGTAACAAATAAAGGAGCAGAGATGAACTAGGAGCTTTAAAATGAGATGGATAACACGGAAACAGCAGAAACATTTGTTGACAGCCAATAATGCGTGGTGACCTTAACTCTGCCGTTTTTATTTATTGTTTTATTTAAAGCAGGCTTTGCTGCTTCTACCTCTTCTTCAATATCACTATTTTTTTTTCACCTCCTGGTGTTTTTCTGTGAAATGATAGTTGAGCAGAAGAGAGTACTTCACTGGTATTTGGAGAAATAAAAGCATTTACAATTCTGAGGAAGGATTTAAGGAAGAAGTAATAAGGAAAGTGTAGAAACAGAATGAGAACCTAAAAGACACAAACTACAAACCTAGTATAAGTGTCAGAGAACATTGTTGAAAATACAGCAATGAAGACGGATGTCAAGGATGATGTTGGCGAAGTGTTATGGTTTGAAATGTTGTGCAGTGGAGAATGCTGAAGGATATTGTTAAATTTAGTAAGAAGAGTTTTCATTAGAAGTATTACTTACTATGTGAGCTGTGTCTCACTAAGGGAGAAAGACGATACAATTGCAGTTCAACAGTTGGTTTTTATGATTTTCTTCTCTCTCATGTCCCTAGTTGTGGGTGTTTTGTTTCTGTGTTAGAGTAAATTAAACTTGTCTGTTTAAATTTGTTTCTTTGCTAATACTATTGGTTTTTTTTTATTGTTTCAGATAAAATGAATTATGTATAATCTTAATAATAATAATAATAAATATAATCCTGATAATTAGGCTTGTTTGATTCATTTGGAAATTTTTTGATTTTTTAAAATGATTATTAGTATCATAAAGAAGGGAAAGAATAGAAGACAGGTCTTATTTGAAATCTTAATCTGAGTCTATTCTTAGTACATTGCTTTATGGTTACTCCATCTTGATTAGTAAATAATTCCTTTCTGTTTGTTTGGAGATGAAACTAGAAGTCAATCGTAAGCATTTAAAATACAGAATAGAGTTTTAAACAAATCCGTTACGTGCATTATTGGATACTGAATTAGATTTAACAGCTTCTGGGCTTTATTAATGAAACTTAGAACATGGCGCTGTTCGTAAAGTGCATTCTATTTCTGCAACCCCTAGTAGTTGTTGGCTACTAGAAGAACTTACTTTAGTTGTAAAACGCTTGAAAACTTACTGAAGCTTGTGAAGATACAGCAGCTAGAAGTCTAGCTGTTATGATAGGATAAAGGCTACAAAAGCAGACAAAATAAGCCTTAAAGCTACAACTTCTACCACTTGCAATTATTCTGATTTGTTTTCAAATGCATTACTCTGTGATTCTCTCAATTCTTTCCATGGATGAGTGGTAGACTTACTGCTGTATACTTGCCCCATGGTAACTGCGATTAAAGCATGTCTGTTATTAACTTCTGTTTAAATACTAAAAGGTTGATTGATGTCACAGAATTGTAGGGTTTGGAAGGGATTTCTGGTGATCATCTAACTCTCCCTCTCTGCTAAAGCAGGTTTCCTACAGTAGATTATACAGGAAAGCATCCAAGTTGGTTCTGAGTATCTACAGAGAAGGAGACTCTACAATTTCTGTGGGCATCTTCTTGCATTGCTCTGTCACTCCAAAATAAAGAAGTTTTTCCTTATGTTTGTATGGAACTTCCTGTATTCAAGTGTGTGTCTGTTGCCCCTTGTCCTGTCACTGGGCACTGTTAAAAAGAGCCTGGCCTCATTCACTTGGCTCCCACCCATCAAGTATTAATAAGCCTGGATAAAATTCTCTGTCAGCCTTCTCCAGGCTGAACATGTCTCTCAGCCTTTCCTCGTACTGAAGAGTTTCCAGGCTCCTAATCTTTGTGGCTCTCCACTGGACTTTGGTTAGAAATGACCTGTCTTTCTTGAACTGAGCCTGGAACTAGTCAAAGTACTCTGGATGTGACCTCACCAGAGCAGATTATAGAGGGACCTCTCTAATAGCCTTCCTCAGCCTGCTGGCCACATTCTTTTTAATGCACCCCACGGTACCATTGGTCTTCCTGGCCACAAGAGTGATGCACAGTGATGGCTCACGGCCAACCTATTGTCCAACCTACGTCCTTATCTGTAGAGCTTCCCTCCAACAGGTTAGCCCCTAACCTGTACTGATTCAGGCAGTTTTGCCTCCCCATGTCTAGGACTTTACATTTTTGCTTGTTGCACTTCATCAGGTTCCTTTTTGCCCAGCTCTACAGTCTGTCCAAGTCTTGCTGAATAGCAGCCCTGCCTTTTGGTGTGTCAGCCACTCCAAGCTTTGTATCATCAGCAAACTCACTAAGGGTGAACTGTATAATTTAATCCATGTCATTGATGAAGATGTTGAACAAGATTGGACCCAGTACGGATCCCTGGGAAACACCGCTCTCCAAATAGAATCTGCGCCACTTATCACAACTTTCACTGCTGCTCGGCCAGTTCTCAGTCCACCTCACCGTTCACTGATTTATGCTATGCTTCTGAGCTTACCTTTGAGAATGTTACAGGAGGCAATATCGAAAGCATTGCTGAAGTCAAGGTAGACAACATCCACTGAGCTTCCCTTATATACCCAGCTGGTCATGATATCCTAGAAGGCTACCTCATTGGCCAAGTGTGGTCTCCTCTTGGTGATTCTACATTGACTAATACTGATAACTTCCTTTTCTTCTACTTGCTTTGAGACGACTTCTGGAATAAGTTGTTGTAAGGGACAGAGGTGAGGCTGACTGGCCTGTAGTTTCTCACTTTCTCTTTCTTGCCCTTTTTGAAGATTGGAGTGACACTGGCTTTCCTCTAGTTCTCAGGCTCCTCTCCTGTTGTCTATGATGTTTCAAAGGTGATAGAGAGTGGTTTGACAATCTCTTCCCTCGGCTCCATTAGCATTCATAGATGCATGCTCTTGAGCATGCACATGGATTTGTGTGCAGCAGGTTTGCCAAGATGATCTCTGATCAGATCTTCCTTCTCCAAGGGGAAGCGTTCCCTTTTGCAGACGCTCTTACCTCGGGAATCTGAGATTTCTGAGGGGCAGTCTTAGCATTAAAGAGTGAAGAAAAGAAGTCATTCAGTATCTCCCCCATAGTCTCCTTGTTACCAGGACATCTACCTCACTTAGCAGCAGGCCTGCATTTCCCCCAGTCTTCCTTTTGCTACTGACACTGGTAGATTAGTCTTTCTTCTTGTCCCTGTCCTCCCTTGCTGGATTTAATTCCAAGTATGCCTTAGTCTTCCTCCTTGCATCCCTGTGTGCTGTGACAGTGTTGCTACATTCCTCACATGCGACCAGTTCTTTTCTACATTCTGTAGACTTTCTTCTTCCATGTGGGTTTTTCAGTGAGCTCTTTGCTTATCCATATGGGTCTTCTGTTACCTTCGATTGGTTTCATTTCAATTGGGAATGCATCAATCTTGTGTTCAAAAGAAGTGGTGCTTGAATGTCAACCGTCTCTCTTTGGTCCTCTTACCTTCCGATACCTGCTGGATACCTTTTGGTAGGTCCTTGAAGAGATCAAAGTTAGCAGACTTGAAGACTAGGATCTTCCTACTAATAGCCTTGTTTCTTCTGTGTAAGATCCAGAGCTCCATGATCTCGTAGTCGTTGCATCCATGACAGCCCCTTCACATTCCCAGCCAGTCCTTCTTGTCTGTAAGATCAAGATCCAACAGCATGCCTCTCCTCATTGGCTCCTCCACTACCTGGCTCAGAAGATTATCATCTATGCAGTGCAGGAACTTCCTGAACTACGCCAGCCTGGTAGTGTTGCTTTTCCAGCAAATGCCAGCATGACTGAAGTCCCTCATGAGAACCAGGTCCTGGATTGTGAGGCTACTTTGAGCTGTCTGTAGCCTCTTCCTGATCAGGCAGCCTGTAGTAAACACACAGAATAGTGTCACCTGTATTAGTCTGTCCCTTAATTCTCGCCCATGAGCTCTCTACTCAATCACCATTCATTTCTAGGTGTAGCTTGGTACATTCCACTTGCTCTCTCACAAAAAGAGTAAGTCCATCACCATGCCTTGCTGATTTGTCTTTCCTGAAAGCTACGTTACCATCCATGACAGCATTCCAGTGATACAAGCTGTCCTACCGTGTCTGTGTGATCTCAGTGAGATCATGGTCCTGCAAGCGCACACAGATCTCTAATTCATCCTGTTTATTCACCATTCTGTGTGCACTGATACACAGGTACTTCAGAGAATAAGTCTTCTAACTCCTTCGCAGCTATGCCTAACCTAGTGACTTCGGTTGTAAAAGCCTGTACCTGTGGATGTATCAAGAAAGGAAAAGAACAATCATAGTACCATAGCAACAAACATTCATAATGCAGTGTTTCTTGTCCTCTTGTGTATAGATGATTTTATAACACATGGTTCCTAAATCATCACCCACTCAATTTTTAATTGCTGTTTTTTACAGTCTCTGTGTTAACTCAAAAATGGGTTTCAAATCTATGCTATATATAAACCTCTTAAATTCAAGCATGACTCTTAACACAAAC